ATGGAGTCATTGGTAAATAATCCAGTGTTGACTTTTAATTTAGAAATAACTCACCAAATTGATCCCAGCTTTCCCAGCTATGAATTTCCTTCAACAGAATACACTGATTTGTATTACCTTATGGTTTTCTTTCATTGTTTGTCTTTCTTTTTGTTATTTTATTTTCCTACTGGTATAACAGATGACCAGGGATATGGAACCTTCATGATTCTATATATATTGAGTTCATAAATTCTCTTTAGTTGTCATCTTTCCAGATTGACCTCATCTTTCGCTAGGGACATGCTATGTAGAATGTTTTCAATGATGTTTAGACGTAAAAGCACACAAATTATAATTGTACAATGGAATGGATTTTCACAAGAGGAGCACAACTGTAAAATCAGCATCCTGATCAAGAGATAAAAGAATATTACTAGCACCACACGGGCCCCCTTAATTCTCCCATAGAGCCCCCCTCGCCCACCACATCTCCACTGCCTCAGAATTACCATTACTCTGATTTCCACAGCAAGGATTAGTTGTGCCTGTATTTGAATTTTATGTTAGCGGAATTGTATAGTAGTTTTCTGGTGTCTCATCCATTATTATATCTCTGAGGTTCACTGCCTGAGCAATACTTAGATAACTCTAACTGCTATATGGTATTTCATTGTTTGCTTAGCACAATTTATTTTGCTACTGATAGACATTAAGGTTATTTCCAGTTTGTGAGTATTAGGATACTAGGGACAGAGCATAATGATAAATGACTAGGAGAAAGGTTTCTAGGTCACACACTATACAAATATTCAGCTCTAGCACCTTCTGGCAAATGTTTTCCCCAAGTGATTTGCAAATTTATGTCCCTGTAACAGGACATGAGCAATCCAGTTGCTCACCAATACTTTAAATTACATATCAGTCTTCTAAATTTTAGCTATTCTAGTGTTGTGCAGTTCTAGCTTACTCTAATTTTAATGTTAATTTTTTTCACTGGTTAATCACATTGAGTACTTCTTCATATGCTTGTTGGCCATCTTCATATCCTTTCTTTGTGAAGTTCCAGTTGAAATCTTCACCTGCTTTTCTATTGGATCCTCTATGTTTTTCTTATTGATTTGTAGAAGTTCTTTATATATTTTGGATGCATGTTTTTTGTCAGATATATGTATTACTACTATTTTTATCACTCTATGGCTTAGCTTTTTATTGTCACTGTGGTTCTCAATTTTAATTTAGTACCATTTCTATTTTTGTTCTTTATGTCCTATTTACAAAGTCTCTGTCTATCTCAAGATCATGAAGATAGCTTCCACCTTTCTCCCTGAAAGGGAAACACATTTAGTTCTATAATCAATCTGGAATTATTTCAGGGGATGCTATAAAATAGAGGTCAAGATTTGGTTTTCCTGGGGCTGGGGATTTAGCTCAGCGGCAAAAGCGCCTGCCTGGCAAGCGCAAGGTCGTGAGTTCGGTTCCTGGTACCGGAGAAAAACCAAAACAAAAAAAAAAAAAAAAAAAAAGATTTGGTTTTCCTTTTTTCCATGTGAACATCTAAGTGGGGTGCTAGATAATATTACTTTCCTCCCTTGATAGAGTTGGAAAAATTCCTTTTAATTGACTAGAATGAGGTGATCTGCAACTCATATGACACTTCGTATGACTCAGCAACCTCTAATTTACCTTCTTTCCATGGATGAACACTCCATGGGGCTTAAGGGAGATTATATCCCGACACAATTTCTTTTTCCTCCTCTTTATTTTTGTTTTTGTTTCCATCTTTTAGCAAGGTATAAGTTACACACAGTAAAATTTACTTTTTTTAGTGTATGGTTCTGCACGTTTTGTCAAATTCATATGCTTTTATAACAACAATCCACAAATAAGATATATAATAGCTTTATCAACCCTAAAATGGTCCTTTCTCCTGAAACTGTAAGGCCACCCTGGTCAGAGAAATGTTGCTCTGTTTCTCAGAGACATCCTGCTTCATTTGTCTTTTGTATTTTACAGACAGCAAATACTATGAGGGGAAATTATTGCTCCAGTGTGCTCCTTCCCTTCAGAATATTGGTTATTGTGGCAGCTTTCTGATACTTGCCAATATATTTTAGCTTTTCTTAAAAATTTTATCCAGATCTCATAGATGTTCCCAGTGACAGTGCTGGACTGCCACAAGCTCTTCCATTAAAAGCAGATACCTAAGTCTGTCTACCGACCTTCAGTAATCACTGAAACCCACCTCCATCATATTTCTGTAATAGATCTCAAAGGAATCCATGTTGGCAGCTATGATGATTGCCTAGTTATGCTTTGGAGTAGGCCAAAACTGAGTTTTAATTCTGACTCTGTTGCTGATCAACTGTGTCACCATGAATCCAAAACTCTTTCCTTCTAACTGAAGAGAATTTTCTTTAAGAAAACAATAGTTTCATAGTTTTCTTGAGAAGATTAAATAAGATAACAGATTATCAAGTACCTTGTACATAGTAGGCAGTCAATAATTACAGATATTATCATGTCTCTCAGACCCTACACTCACTTCTTAGAAATCATGGAGAAGGGATACTACAAGATAGCCCTGAAAAGCAATATTATTCTTGAGCATCTGTTAGATGCTGTAAAGGGAGAATTCAGTTGGTGTTTTACCCACAATAGTAGGGTTATTCACAGATATTGAGACACAAATTACATTTTTTTTTCCTTAAAAGGTCAGAAAATTATATATGAACCATCTAAGTTGAAGGCCTCTTAAGAATCTATTCTACCTGAAATCCCAGCACTCAGGAGGCTGAAGCAGGAGGATCACTGTGAGTTCAAGGCCAGCCTGGGCTACATAATGAGCCCCTGTCTCAAAAACACCACCACTGATAACAAGAAAAGTATCTATTCCAAACACTTCACAGCATACATGAAAGAACTGAGGAACTAGCAGTGGATAAATAACTTGTTCAAGGTCAATTCGCTCATTAGGAACTTGTTCAAGGTCAATTCGCTCATTAGGAGTTATTTAAATGACCCCAGATTCCCTAATTTGCCTTTCTAACATACTCTGAGTGCCCGTACTCAACTATAAATATAAAAGACACAATTATTAATGTTTTATTGTCCCTGGCTTCTTTTGACCAAAACTCATGGACCTATTTTTAAATATTTCACTTATTATCCATCCTCACAAATTATGTGCCTCCTTGCCAACTATGACTGAAACAGCTACTTACTATTCCCTTCCCATTCCAAAGATTATGTCTTATAGCTTCTCATTCTTCAGTTATTAGGAAATATTCTGCCTTATTGTCCAGTGCAGAAGACTGAACGGAGCTCATGTAAACCCACATTCACCACGTGAGCAAGGGAGTGGGGAACTTCTGTCCTCCTGGGTACTGGGTACAAGGTGGCCATGCGTGTCCTTGCTATTCTCTTCCATGGGCAGGATGGCCATCAGCCATCATAGGTCACATTTGGGGACCACTTTTGGTAGGACCTCTTCATTCAGCACATCTTCTGCTACAGCATTCCCTATTAATGACATCTGAACCTGAATCCCTTCATTTGAATGAGTGCCATGGTCAGAAAGCTCTTGGCCCTGGCTTTGTTATTTCCACGATGTATGTGCAACATATTATGAAACGGGGATTTTCTCAAAGGCATAGTAATGTTGAAATCTAGTCCTACTTCAACAACATAAGGTAAATTTTTAAATTAACTAAATTCTTTTTTAATTTGTTGTTCTTGTTAGCATAGTTATCCCTTTTTATAAAGGATCCTTCATTTAGCCTTTGCAATGACTGCCTGTTACAGTAAGTTATCATTTGAGACCCTACCCCTTGTTTGAAAAATAGTGCCTTTCTGGGAAGATCCATGTTTTACATTTTAAAGAATGATTAGAACCAGTCTTTGAAAGTAAGTATTGGCAATATTTTTCCATTGTAACCAGAAAAATGCTAGTTACCCTTTCTCATGCTTCCGAATGGCTTCACCTGGAGATTTCCTGAGGGCTCTAAGAAAATCACCATCACTGCAGAGCTAACAATCTGATCAAAAGGAGAGAATTCTTCCTTTCCTTTTGTTCCACTTTGGTTCTCTCATACTGAATGTTTTCATATAAAACCTACTTCTTCCCATGGCTGAGTAGAAGGTTAAATCAAAGGAGCAATAAATAGCACCTGGCTGTGTGCCACCAGCTGGAGTCAGACTGGGGAAGGGCAGGCAGGCTCTTGTGCCAAATGTGTCTAGCTCCCTCCCTCCCTTCTCCTTCCTTCACCTTGGGTCTTTTCCTTCCTTACCCTGTCTGGTCTAGACACAGCTGGGCGTGCAGGGAACTTCGGTAACTTCTCCTGTGCTGGGTCAGCCAGAAGCTATGTGCTGGGCAATTTATAAACAGATAAAGTGAGGAACGGCTAGTTGGCATCTATATGAAATTGCGAAGTAATTTAAGATCTTAAAACAGAGCGTGAAAGTCTCATCAACTTCCTGGCCCTTAAACTATCAATCTGAAATTAAAAGAAAAGAGTTAATCAGAAGACGAAGTCTACTTTTAAGCACTTTGCCATTCCCTTTATGGTGTCTCTTCTAAATCCTTTCTTCTTCCTTACTAAGATAGTTCACGAACGTACACAAATGCTACAGACTGGAAAGTTGCTTTCCACTCACCTACAGCATTTTCTTTTTCTCTTTTCCCTTCATTAGTTCCCAAATGTTAAAATAAAAATAGGGGAGGAACTGGGATCAAGAAAAAGCAATGAGACAAATAAATATTAACTCTGTCAGAGTATTTGCATAACTATAAAACTTCCACTGCATAATTATTTGAATAGTTCAGGCATTGACTATAATAGCTGTATTTATTTTCTTTCACATACAAATATGCAATAGCTATTTCTACCCAAGGTCTACGGTCCCCTTAATGTCCTAATTACCTGTAGTACCTAGTAGAGAAATGATACTTTAAAATATACCCTCCACATTCACCAAAATTCATTCCACTTACTTAGGTTCCAATCTTCTCTTTGTTCCAGGTATCAATAGTTATTTCCAGATCATCTAATCTAGAAGGTTTTCTGATCACTAGAAGGCTCAGGAGTGAATATCGGACTGCTTAACTGTGAGTAGAATTTGATGTTTTTCTTTGGTTTCTGCTCTTGGCAATTACACAGTCTCTCTGCTTGGTTTTCTAAATTCGTGTACCTAAAGGCTCATGGTGTGAAACAGCCTTCCTGCTATGCCCTTCCTAGTTTATTTGCCAGTTAATCAGTTAGAATCTGTCAAGTTTTGGAGGAATTGTTTTCCTGTATGATAATCTGACTTTCTGCTTTATTTTTTCCTGTTTTTTCTCTGCATATGACATATCTTAAAATAATCCTTCATCAGTAATGAAGTTTTCACTTCCTCTGAATTGAAGAATAAAGAGAGGATAATAACTACTCTCCAGGGTAAATAGACTCATCTTTGTGCAAATGCTAGTGATTTCAGCAGCAGTTAGCACCTCTTTCTTTCAACTAATCCCCCTCACTGAGGAGGAGACTATGCCCACCAGAAAGATCCCCTGGGAAGCAGAAAGGGCGCTTCTGAAGGTAGGGGATGCAGAAACCATAGGAAGCATCACTTGCTCACAATTTTTATGAAATTGACCCCAATAGGGAAAATAGTTTTTCAGGAGTTTAGCATCATTCTCAGGTGATTATTGTTTCAGGATTGTATCAGTTGTTCTCTACACTAGTTTACTTAGGCTGCCAAAGAAAAATTCCAAAGACTGAGTTTACAAACAAATTGTTTTCTCTTAGTTCTGAGACTGGGAGACTGGGGTCAAGATGTTAGCAGATTTGGTTTCTTCTGAGGCCTCTCTCACAAAATGGCTGCCTCCTCCCTGCATCACCACAGGGTCATCTTTCTTTGCGGACCCTGCATGGTGTCTGCGTCTGAGTTTCCTCCTCTTGTAAGGACTCCAGTCATATTGGATTAGACCCATCCTAACTACCTTGTTTTAGCTTAATTGCCTTTTTCACTCAAATGTGGTTTCTTCACTCAAACGTGGTTTCATTCAAATGTGGTTTGAATCTTCACTCGAATGTGGTTTCATTCTGAGGTACTAAGGGTTAAGACTTCAACATGTGAATCTGAGGAAACCAGTGCAGCCTGTAACACCATCATCATTTTTAAATACCCTGACTTTTATTTCATTGCATGTGACCTTCTTATGATTCTCCTCTCCCAAACTCCTGCAGCATTTGGATTTTCTATACTGTAGTATAGTCCTTCAGATAGAGCTCACCTGTCCCTTTGACATCATAGCATTTTTGAAATTGTAGCATGTGCCTTTTACCTCTCCCACAACACTAGAGTGGGTTTGTATACAGTAGTTATTTAATAAATATGTTTAACGACTGAGTAAAAGGATAGATGGTGAGATCCACCTTCTGAACCTATCATTTATTTGCTTCAAGTTGTTCCCAAATGATAATTATTTGGGAAAATATAATGATTTTTCCTGACTTGCTGAGCTCCACTCCAAACAGAAATAAGTCAAGGCTAGAAAAAAGAGGTAAAAAGAAAGCTGTGGTTTGCTGATGGCATTAGTATTTTCTTATTTATCAAACTTCCCCCAGAGAAGAACACTATTTTGGGAGCCAGGCAGAAGGATGATGAGTTTAGACTGTGACTTCCTGAGTTGGAGGGGCTGTGGGACGTACCAGGTTTGTATCTAGGAAACAAGGGATGCACACATCCGCTGAGAAATCCCCAACCCTCATCTACAGAAGGAAATGAAAACTGTGTGTTGGGAAAGGAGCAGGAGTTTAACAATGCCTTTACTTTATTCTTTCTTTTCTTTATCATTCCTTTAGTTCTCTTTCTTTAGCAGAAACATGATTTTTTTTTAAGATTGTCTGATATGACAAGGAGATACAAACGGCAAATAAATATATGAGAAAATGTTCAACATCATTAGTCATTCGAGAAATGCAAATTAAAACAACACTAAGATTCCACCTTACCCCAGTAAGAATGGCTAGCATTAAGAAATCAACCAATAACAAATGCTGGCGAGGCTGTGGAGAAATAGGAACCCTTCTCCACTGCTGGTGGGAATGCAGACTGGTGAAACCACTGTGGAAATCAGTTTGGAGATTCCTCCGAAAACTAGGTTTAGAGGTCCCATTCAACCCAGCTATCCCCCTGCTGGGTATTTTCCCAGAAGATCTAAAAACATCATATCACAGTGATATATGTGCACCTATGTTCATAGCAGCACAATTTGTAATTGCTAAAATGTGGAAGCAACCCAAATGTCCATCCACCGAGGATTGGATAAGAAAATTATGGTACTTTTATATAATGGAATATTACTCAGCTGTAAAGAAAGATAAACTCGAGGCCTTTATATTTAAATGGTCACAACTAGAGACCATACTCATAAGTGAAATAAATCAAACATACATGTGCAAGCACCGCATTGTGTCACTAGTGTAAAACTTGAAAGAGTTAATTTAAACTCGGAGGTATGATAGACACTGTGAAATGATAGGAAACCACCGAAGAGTAAAGGGCTTCTGGGATGTGGGAAAAGAGAAGGGAAAGAAGGAGAAATTTTGTATGTATGTATATACAGGATAGATAATATGGTTGTTCTTCTGTCTTCTATTTCTATGCTGAAAGAAACTGTCAATGAGTCTTTGGTTGACCAGTACTGCATGTCTATATCTGTTTTCACGAGAAGCCACTTTGAAGATATCAATATGTAATACAACCACCATTGTTAATTCCCTACCAATCTGTTTGTAACTCTGTATTGTCTGTATTGTGCTTGTGATATGTTGTAAAATGTTGTATGTCTGTTAGTGTTTCCCTCCTTTTATCTTTAAAATAAAAAAAAAAAAGATTGTCTGATATTAGCAGAATAAGCTATCAGAGGTCTGGAGGCTCCTTTCTCTTTCTGCACATTCCCACCCAGGTTTCAGATGAATTTTGATACCAGCTTTCTTCAAGTAGTACCCACTCCCATGCTTTCCTTTTCGTGTTTTTGGAGAAACCAGGAAAAAGATGTCCATTACCTTGAAGTTGCTCAAAATGTCACTGACACCTGAATTAGGGATTTTATGCAAGTTGCTATTTATGAAAAAGGAAAAATCTTGAAGGTGAGAGGAAAAAGCTCTGCCATCTTGAATAGCCTCACTGGGGTGTTCCAGTGAACCATGGCTGTTGGCCAGTGGAGGTGCCTCCCATTAATTTCCGTCAGCTACAGGGCCTGGAGAGAAATATCATTTTCCTATGAGCATATAAAAGAAGTGCTTTGAGCTGTAAGCACCTAACAGAATTTGCCTTTGTTTTAGAAGAGCATTAATGGGAGATTTTATAATCACTGTGGGCCAATACTTTTGGAATCAGCTGAAGCTTCATGTGAAATGGAAAGAGAAGTGTAGAGCTCCTATCTCTCTCTCTCTGTCTCTGTCTGTTTCTCTGTCTCTGTCTCTCTCTGTCTCTCTCTCTCTCTGTCTCTCTCTCTGTCTCTCTCTAAGCCTCCCTGGACACCCTTAACAAAGTCTTATTTTTTGTTCACGTGTACAAGTGTGCCCAGATTTGTTAGAACAGCAGAGTAACATCTGACGAGATCTTTTTCTTTTTCTTTCTTTCTTTCTTTTTTTTTTTGTTGTACTGAGGATTGGACATCCAGGCTTTCTTGCCGCACTGCGTCCATTTTGTTTTGTTTTTTTTTGTGTGTTTTGTTTTGTTGTATTTTTAATTTTGAGGCGTAGTCTTGCTGAGTCCTTGAGTTGTCCATGCTGGGCTTGACCTTTTGATCTTCCTGCCCCAGGCTCCCAGAATGCTGGGATACAGGTATGCACCGCCGTGCCTGGCTTGGAGAGGTCTCCCCCTACCCTTTATTAAAGAAGTTTTTCTTAAACTGAGATGTTTTCCTATGGACTTGTAGGAATAGCTATAGAGCAAGGCTTAGATAAGAGAGGCCTGGGACCTACTCTTTGACCAGGAGTCTCCCCTGAAAGAAGCAACTCCCAGTATTGTCATGAGACACAACCAGGGAAGGACATGGTGAGTCTGGACACAGCCCAAGGATGTGGGAAAAGGAAACACCAGTTCCATCCTTCAGCTGGAGGATGAGGGAAAAGGAAACACCAGTTTCCAGAATCTTCTCAGGATCCCGGAAACCTTTCTGATAAAGAGGGTAAGAGAGCTTCCCCACTCTCCACATGCAGACTGGTGAGCTTGGAGCAGTGGCGGCATTTCCCTGGTGCCAGGGATTTGCAGTTTGCCTTATGAGTAACTCCACGGAAGTTCACTTCCCTGCCCTGTGCAGCTCCTGACAGAGATTGCACCCGGAGAAGACAGCCAACATGGGAGGACAGATGACAGGGAGAAAGACAAATCTTGGTGTTAAGAGCTCTTATCCAGCCCTTTGTTTCCAAGTACACAGTGAAAAGAAAGGAACGATTTAGCTTTGAACATGAGCGATCAAAAGTCTCACCTGAACGCCTCCCTGAAAGTTAGACATATTACAGTGCTGTGTGTGTGTTTAAATAGCACAGGGTTTCCCTCATATGAGAAACCCAAAATACAGAGAGCAAATGAAAGATAGATAATAGGGAGACAGATTTTTTGCAAATGGGGAGGAGACCAAGAGATGGAATGAGGAGAGGGGAAAGGGATAAAAGAAAACTGAGTTGTGCGATGTACACCTATCAGCTCCCCACAAGGAATGTGATCATTAGGTCCTGAAAACCTGCACAGTGAGAAAAAAATGGTCTTCCCTGAAGTTCCAATTATGACACAGTTTGTACAGTTGAAGGACACAGACTCGGCTTCTTCCAAAATCCACTTTGGGATGTTCACCAAAATTAAGCTGTGAACCTCTTGTGTGACTCAGTGCAACAATACTCCAGTCAGATTCAAGTAGAACAAACACTCAATCTTGGGTGAAAATCTGAGACATTTTCCTTCCTACCATTCTCTGTATCCCGGGTCCAACAATGTCAAATTAATCTCAAATTTTTTAAAATCAACTTTTCCTAGAGGAAAAGGCAGAGCTACATTCCTCGAAACAGATATTTTAGGCTAAACTTATTACTGGGGTTTTTCACCCCTCCCTTTTGC